CGCCATGAACCAAACGCCCCTCTAGGTCGTTGAATGCAGGGACAGGAATCATATGATGGTGTCAATACTACCCCAGAATTAGAAAGGCCAGTGACCGGAAGAGTCGAAGTTTACTGTTCACATAAAAGTAGTATCGAACTGTATTAAGACATTTTCATAAAAAAAAAAAATAGATGAACAAAATTAAAAATTCAAGACATAATCATGTTATGGAAATGAACAAATTCAATAACCACGACTAAAATAATTTTGGATCGACTCAAAAACTTGTCTAATAATCCAAACAATTCGCGAAAAATCGACGATTTCAAATTAAAAAGTGTCATGTTAGTTACGACTTAATTGAAGCTAATTGATAGTAGCTCTTGGTTTAAATTAGAGTAAATTATACATATAACCTTTAATATATGACTCTTGTGTTAATTAAGTCTTTAAATTATTTTTTGTATCAATTAAACCCTTAAATTCTCTAATTATATTAATTGAATGTTTCTATCGGTCTAAATTTTCTAAGGGTCCGTTTTGTTAGGAAGAAAAAATAATGGAAAGTGAAAATGATAGACAGTGAAATAAAAGAAAAAAAAAATAATATAAAATATATTTTCATACATGTGTTTGGTTAGAATGAAAAATTTATTGAAAAATTTAAAAAAATTTTCATTCTATTGTTTGAAAGAAAGAAAAGTTATAAGATATTTTTTATAATTGTCTAAATTACCCTTAATTATATTAAATCGGTCTAAAAAAGAAAAAAATATCTGTAATTATAATTGAAAGTTAATTTTTTTTAAAAAAATATCTCGAAACTTAATTTTAGGACAATCACCAATACAAAGGTCTTTGAGCCAAATTATATGATTAATCAAATTTATACCAAATTTTTTTAAAATTAATAACCAATAAAATATTTTTAAAAAAATAAAAATAAAAAAAGAAGTTAGTTATAGATCACAATTTTCTTATATTTCCTTGTGTTTTTTTCAAGAACTAATCAAACACATGAAAATTTTAAAAATTTTATATTTTTTGCATTTTGTATCAATCTCCTCCGAAGCAAACGAATCCTAATGAAAAATTGCAGTCTGCCAAGCACGTGACGGGCTGCAACTCGTTTCATATTTACATGGGGGTGAAGTAAAACATGTTTACTGTTTTTCTATCAAGCTTTTTTCTCTTCGATTTCCCACAAGTCCTTCAACACACTCACCGACCATATGTATGGTCGCCCCTCCTCTTTTTCTTTCCTGACGTGCTCTCTCTTGCTAACTTAGCTTGCTGGTTGTTCTGTAAAAGTGTAAAAACAAAGGGTATGGTGTTTTTGAACAATGTGCATGTTTCGGATTGCGATCAATTAGTTTGCCAGTAAAGGACCTGAAAAGGGATTTGGCTTTAATCCTTACAGAATGATGAAGCTTGAGGGAGGTGCCTTTGCTTGACATATATATACAAGTATGTTACGATTAGTTTGCAATGTTAGCATGACAAAGTGAGTAAATTATTTTAAATGTTTGATGAAATGCGTGACAGAGTTAAGGGTGCTGGAGGCCGAGATATTGGTAAGTCAGAAGAAGATGGCTCGGTTGAGGTCAAATGTAGTCACTTTGTAACAATCTAACAGACGGAATTGTGGACTTGGGAGAGCATGGAGAATGCAGATTTGGAGGCAGATGTTTGCCACTAGGGTGGTTGATCCAGTCAAGGTATTACAATGGGAGATTCAAATTTATTTTTGCATCAATGTTTGAGATTGGCGCCAAAGGATGTAGTATAATATACAATGTGATGGAACTTAGTAATGTAAAGAGGGTTGCTGCTCTAGAGTATTCAGGTTGCTCAAAGAAATTGGGTGGGGAATGGAATGGCTGTAGAAGTGTAGATGTGGCTAGCTGCTCTTGAAAATTTTGATTTTTTTTCCCTCAAGATTGGGAAGTTTGAACGAGGCTGAAATGGTTGATAGTGATATGATGACATCATGTTTAGAGCTGTCTGTCGATCTCTAACATAATTCTACAAAGCCAAATTGAGTGATACAAAGAAGTTATTGAAGCATAATAATTATAGAATGAATTTGTGGACTTTGTGGACTAGTATTCCCTCATCTTTTGGTAAGCTTCATTTATCTGACGAGTAGTACTTCATCGATTTCAGTTAAAATATTATTGATTTGCAGTATGGAAAAATATTCAGAATGCAGCTACTTTGAGACATCAACTTTTGAATATTTTGGCACATTATGGTTGGAATTTTGGACATACTTATTTTGCCTTGGAAAGTAAAAAATAAAACACTGTTTTGCCTTGTAAAGAGATCTAAGCACATGTGAATGTTATCTAAGTGGCAAGTCAAGTAAACTAAAAATTAGAGACATCTACGTTTAGTAATATGAAAATGTCAATTTCAGTTAATTCATTTCCATTGAAAAATGGATGAATTACGTTTAGCTCTGAGGTTTTTGACAATTGTAGTGACATCTCATGAAAATTCTGAATGTACTTTGGCAAAACAGATCTATTTTATTCAAGAAATAGAAAAGCTGAATCTCACCTTATTAAAACTCACCACATATCCTATTTGAACTCTCTGTTCTGTTTGTTTATAATTGCCATCTTTGGTTGACATCCTTCAGCAGCAAGTACACAACATTACTTTAGATTCTCTCTTTCCCTTCCCCATCTCTCCCACACACAAATGTATTTGTCTACCAATCAAATATAATCACAGCCCAAAAACAAAGAAACAAAAACTAAATCTGAAATTGCAGGTTTTGGGTTGTGTGTGTGTGTGTTTTTTTTGGGGGGGGGGGGGGGGGGGGGGCCCC